TTCAGAGATAACACTACTCGACATGAGTTTTTAGCAACACTCTAAGAATAGGTACCATGGATGCTCATAGCAATGAACACAATTTTATTATATACAAATTTTATTGTATCAAAATATTATATATATTGATTATAGTGTTCAATTTCATGACGGGCCATGGCAGAATAACAGCGAGTGCTATGTAATTAGCATAGTCCTCTGACGCTGAGTCATGAACCCTTTTGACATGCTTTTTATTATTAATGTATTTAAACTTTTTTAACCGACTTCAAAAAAATGGTGGAGGTTTTCATTTCGACTGTGTTTTTTTTGTATGTCGTTACGCGATAACTCCGGCAGACAAATTGTGAACCGATTTTGATGATTATTTTTGGTGGAAAGAGGGTACCTCAGTGGTAGTCTCATTTAAATTTCAAGAAAATATTCCACCCACTGAGATTATTATACGGTTTGCGCTGTGGGCACCGGATTAGGAGGTGCCGGTAGGATCAATTTGGGAAAAGAACTTTTCTACAACTGGACTAGGTGTTCTGGGAGAGCCCCAAAGTGTATTCCGTTGATTTTGTATTCATAGTACAGGGAATTCCCTAGTTTGAGACTAGGCAATTTGTTTGATTGACAAAAAAATTACAACAATCGTGAGGTGTGAGCTTCGTAGCAGTAGAGCTCCTTGTGAATGAGTTCGTCCAGGATAGTACTGCCACCTTACCTAGTTCTGCCGGCAAGCAATAATGCGAGCATTACTGCGTTCTGGATTTGAAGGCTAAGGCGTGCTGGTGAAATTACAGGCATATGAGACTTTTAAATTTATGTCTCTTAGGGCGACAGGCGCAGTGGCAGTGCCCTTTGAGCAGCACTGAAACTGTTATGGACAGGCCTGACGCTTACCATCAGGCACATTACTGGTTCCTCCTGTCACTTAGTATCATAAAAAAAGGTGCACTAAAGGAGCCTCTCGCACGACGTTCCCTTCCTTTTCTACACGTGTGGCGCACCGTGGGCAACAATCGGCGAGAAAAGTGTACACCGACTGCAAATCTTTTCTCCAGGATGGCAAGCTTATAATGAATGCAATCGATACGATAAGAAAAAGACTAAAAAAACTTGATTTTTTCTTCTTTGTTTTCTATTCTCGACTTTTTTACTTACGAAGGAATTATGTAATTTTTTATAAATTGTTTGTAATTTTGCTTGTCAAATAGAATTTTATTTATATATTTCTTGTTTTCTCTTTATGAAATTATTGTGTTAAATACTTCTAGAATAAAGTGAGTATTAATCCAAAACAAAAGTTTCGGATTTACGGACTGGAAACATTACAGGCCTGCACATTATGTTTACAGTGGTTTTCTATCTGGACAAAATGTAAAAGAACATCCACATCAGACCACTCAACTTGATGGGATTATACGATTATTGTGATGCGTTTTTCATGTCTCCATTTCATTCTTTTAGTACGGTCGGTATCTTTTATTAACATGCGAGGTAGGCGGTAATCGTAAAGGGTTGTATTAATTTACTGACATCATTGAACGAGTAAAAGATAAGACTTAGGTATTTAAGAGCTACGTTTTTTATTTAGAGCATGTGAATGGTTTTATCTTGAACAATGTCAGACGCAGAACGGTCATTCATAAAGTGTGACAGGTAAATGAGCGTACTTGTACAGGGTCAAGAGCACGTGAACACATAATTCAAACTCTATTCAGCTTACGATAAGAACGGTCCAAAGTACAAAGTGTCAAGCTTGATGTGCTCTTGACAGCAAGCCATGTGGGCGTACCACAATTAGGAATCAAGGTTGCATTAGGAGGCCGACAATATAAGTTGTGCGTATGCAACACAGCCCATTGTTTGGCTCTTCTGCTAACAACTGATCCAGATCGTAATCAAGTATCGATCTCGTCACTAGTGGTGACATCTGTCTATTTTTATTAGGATCACGGCGAACCAGGCTGCCTGCTGGTAAAGCTTGGAGGCGTTTTGCCGGTAGCCCACATGGCCTGCTACAAAAGTTACTCAACATGAAACGCGGCGTACTGTGAAAAAAAATGCGAGTCCCGCGCCCCGCTCACATGGCCTGCTACTTCAGAAAAATTATTTGTTCTATGGCGCTGAGAGTGTTAATAACAAAACCTTGCTAGGCAATCAATGGTGACACAGGAAAAGAACATTTCTTGTCAATGTTAATTATTTAGGCTAGCTCTGCCCTCGGTCTGCTCGTGTAATTGGAATTTAGATAAGGTAGAGTTATGTAGAAGTAATACTTACCTGACCAATTATTATAAAATTTGCAAATTATCTATTAATACGTATAATTTATGAATACAATAATTAGGTTTTTGTTACCTATTTACTTTTGCTAGATGGTAGGTGATGGTAGATGAAAAGCAAGAAAATGATAAGCTTCTATTAATAAATTACTACATATCTCATCCTGCAACAATTTCCGATTCTGAACTTGAATTATTATTCGTAATCGGATGTTTACAATTTCTGCTTTCAAATAAAAAAGTAATTAGAGATGCCACACTTTCATAAATAACTAATTAAGTATTAATCATTTGTATGTTGGTTTCAATCACTTACAAACTTGTGATTATTAATATTATTATTAATATATTAATATTATCATGAACCAATAACTCAAGAGGACTTCTAATCTCCATACTACAGATCGTAACTCTGAAAAAGGTCAAAATTCCGTCTCACATCTAGATGGCGTTGATCAATAGCCTGGATGTAGTTTATATTATATAAATGGCAGTGGATATCAATAAATTCATCTTTAATGTGAAATAGAGATGCGCCTAGTACTCGTTTGCTACTCGGTACTCGGTGTACTCGGCCGTTTTTTTACTACTCGTACTCGGCCGAATAACTCGATTCATGAGAAGAGTACTTGGTTAAAATAAAGCATCACAGCTATAGACATAATAAAGTAAAACTAACAATATGTTTAAAATAATCAAAAGATATTTATTACTAGACATTGTAGACAATTGTAACAAATTTGTAGCAATTTAGTAATTTAAAAAGGAAATTTACATTATTAATATTTAAAATTTAACAAAGGCAAGTTATGATGTAGGAATACAAGGCTTTCTGCGCGTTCAGGTAATAGTCTGTTCCTTTTTACTGTAGTCGATTGCCGAAACTTTCCACTGAAGTTGTTCTTGACATTATATGAAAAACGTCATAAACAACTAGTTGCGGGTTGCCAGTTGCCGAACTTCGATGATCAACGTTGCTTCATCTACGCAACGCCTAAGAATCAGTGCAATAAGCACCATATAGATGATTCGTTTGTTATCACTACAAATTATAGTAGCTTTGATAAATTGCAGCTTGAAACAAATTGTTACAAAAATAGCTCTTTGGTACTCGCGACATTTGGTGTACTAAATACCCGACTACGCTGTCTTGTACGCGATTAGTAATCTTCTTGAGTGATTGGTTCATGATATTTTCAATGGCTTAATTTAATTTCATACAATATTCTTATGTATTTGTAATTCAAATAATGCCCAGCCCTGGGTACTTTTAATACATATAAATATGAAGTTACTTGTAGATGAATAAACATCGACATTATATCTGTTTTGCACTTACCTTTGCTGCAATGTGTCTTCTTTCTTCGGGTTATAGTGGATTCGGGAGGCGGGTAAAGAAAACTCATATGATATGTGCAAATATGTATTTCTAGATATTCTCACCTCGGTATTTAAATCGGCATATGGACGGAATAGCTAATGGGAATTGAATACCGCCGGGCATATACTAGAGCTGTGTCGATTGTGTTCGATAAAATCAAAATGTTTCGAACAGCACCTGTTCCCGATGACCCGGGTCGCGGGCCTCTAAAAGAATCGATCTTTTAGAGTTTCGATCATTTTTGCTGTCTTTGCTTCTAATTTTACAGGGTTTTTTCAATAATTTAGGTCACGTTCAATCTGCACCTCACAATATTATAGCTGTCTCGTTCGTTCGCATCATGCGAAGTCCCATCCCAACGCCCCGGTTCGCCATTTCACTCTTGCGCAGACAAATATGTTTATGTCGAACATTTATTTCATAGATCCTTCATTCGATAGAACCTTGCATTAGATCTATCCTTCTCGATCGAATTTAATCAATCACGGACCGGTTAATTAATCATTATCGTTGCTCCGTAGCATAGTGTGTCTAGTGTATCTAGAAACATGGCTATTTTCAAAGTAGTATGAAATGAAAATTTATATATAAGTATTATTATTTATTTGACCGTATCACATTGCGCATGGGTCAATATCAACCCGGGTCATCAGGATTGATCGATCGACACAGGTCCAGCATATACGTTTACGTAACTGAGGAAATATCATTAATAGCCCAAATGCGTTATAAGACGCGGGACCTGAGATCTTAAATCTCCTTTGTAATTGCGCTGGCTCTCTCAGCTTAGACACAAATTCGGCCTAGCATAATACACGAAAGCGCTGCTTTAGATAGATAGAGCGGTGGTACCTATTCAGGTGGATTTCGCACTGAGAAAGAACCCTAATCCTTTCTTATGTTTATTAGAAAAACCTAACGTTTGTTATATGTACTTATCTATGTTATTTATTGTAATCCATGATAATGACATGTATTTGTGTACAGGTATTTTTCAATTTCCGTTTAGTTTCAAATTTAAATTGAGAATTTTTTATGTCCAACCGAGACACAGACTTGAAGCCTTGGTACAGTCTATTAAGCTTTCGTAAAACACCTCCATAACACTAGCATAGATTATACTTATAAGCCCAGTACTGAAAACGCTCATCGAAGAAAGTATCTACCTATCTATCGTCGGCTTATTGCAAGGTCTCTAATTATATGTCAGTTAGTGACTTCTTGCAATAAGCCGACGCTATAGCTTTTAAAAAACAATCGAACCTCACTGTCTTACTTATGCTTTTTAATCCTCAACAAATGACATTTCGATGGCAAGTTACAGGCGTTTTTGAAACGCAACTTACCTCCCTGTGGGAAGAACTGTGAGTAAATAATCTTGAAGGTGTCCTCCTTTACCACACCTGTGGGACACTCTGCCTTGAAGCCTCGGTAGAGTCGCTTCAGCTCTGGCTCCGTGAAACGAGTCTGGCGGCGCAACGAAGCGATTGAGTCGGGCCGGTACCGCGGTAGCTGCTCACCCAACTCCTCGAGATCCGAATCTGAAGTTAAGGAGAAATATATTTGTTATTATTCTGAAGTCTTTTTTTGTTATTTATTTATTGAGCATTGGCTACAGAGTCATCAGTTTAATATGGAACCTAACAAATAATTAAGAAACTCAAAACGTAATATACTGAAACTTAAAATAACTACTTGTAAAAAAAACTGTAATCACAAAAACCCGCTATGTTTTTTCACTCAACCCTTTTCTCTTCTTTTGTTTTGCGGTGTGAACCTATATAACAATCATGAAACAAGCGCAAATAAGACAGAGCGAGACCTTTTCGTCACCGCTTACCATCATATGTTATAGACAAATAACTAATATAATCAATAAAAATGAAACAATCAAAAATTTCAATTTGTATAACGTTATTTTGATTTTTTTTTAAATACCTTATTTTTCTTTATTATTATTGCTTATATTGTTATATTTAAGTTTAGTGAATTCGTTTGTGTAGTATTAGTTTTATAGTTGTTCATTTTTTGTTATTTACTTTTAAAATGCTGGAGACAAAGCTCTTAAAATTAAATTTAAAAAATCAAAATCAATTAACCTAACACAAAAAATTACAAGGGGAAAATGTATGTAGTGTAGTTTATATAGATAATTCAGGTTTTTTTTTCAAATGCGGTAGCACCCCCTGGACAACAGCAACACTCCCAATTGCTTCTGAAGTCACGACCGCCCCTCGAGGGATCTTCAGCGCCCGCTGGGTAGGGACCACTTTGGGAAACTATGTATTACCCCAACATATTGGCAAAAAATGGCTGATATTGATATTCTGAAATTCATAAAAAGTGATGTTAATTGTCCTGACTTATTAGGTGATATTTTGGTTAGTATTCGTACGACACGGTTTTGAGACCTAGTAGCTCTCTTAACGGGGACTAATTATAGAAAAAATATTTTTCCTTGCAGGGCTCGTAAGAATTTGTACAGGGTGTTGAGTAAATGTGATCTTACTGTTGATATATTCAATTGTAATGTGAATGTATTAAAGCGTAAACTCACAGACATTTATTGAATTATTCATGCTTGTAGAGATATAGGGTTACCCTTTGTATGTAGGTGAGCGTTTGTTGCATGTGTGTACATTGTTTGTTGGTATTTAGAGCTAGCGTTCGATTTTTAATTTTTCTGAAACTATAGGCCTGTAATGGACTGCATATTTTTATCTCTGTTTTTATTAATTATTATGAAGCTATTGTTTTTTCACGAATAAATAAATAAGTAATTTTAACAATACAGGTAAAGGTTTTTGGCCAATTAAATTAAAACTGCCTCTGTGGCCGAACAGTTACCATACTGGACTGCCACGCAGAGGACTGCCCGGGTTCCAGGGCCGGGAAAAATATTTCTATAGCCTACATATATTTCTCTCTCTTGACTTTTGTGTAATTTATGGTTGTCTATGTGCGTGTCCATGACACCCGCGAATGCCCGCGATACAGGGTTTCCCTAGTGCGGGGCTATGAATGTGTACACGTTATTATTATTATTAAATAATTTGTAAATTCAATTTATAATTGGAAAATCGAAACCATCGTAAACGTGAACGGTTTGAAACTTAATTCTATGCGATACACCGAAAAGGCTAATTATGATAAACTAAAATAAATTTTACAAAAACAATTAATGAGAGGCTTGGAAAATTTCTGAGAAACTCCGATTAAACGAATGAAACCTTGTTTTGGATACAGATCGCGGTTATCGGATCGGAAACACTGTTTGGGATGCTGTTAACAAATAGCCTTTAGTCCCTTGAGCTTAAAATTAAAATGCTTTAGAGCCGTATAAATACTTTAGGAAACAATAAACATAACTACGTTATTTAATTAATTACAGAGAATAAAATACAATTAATAAATAATACATCACCATGGCGAGGGATAGATGGGAGAAATCTCTTCTACAGATAAACTCACCTTTGTCTAATGTCCCTTATAAAATTTAAAAGCGTTTTTAAAGTCATTTCTTTGTGCAATAAAGTATTTATGCATGTACATGTACTTGAGTACGGAGGGAAGGTGCTTTAAATATTGGATGTAGGATATTTTTTGCTTCATAGATACATTGTTTCATTTTTTTAAATAAGTGATGCTAAATGTAAAGACTTTTAAAAAGTAGCTTGCCTCATTTGAAAATCCAACAGAACATATGTTAAAAAGATTTTTTAAATGATGCCAAGTACCGGGACTAACAAGTTGTGCGCCTGGTGGTAAGCGACACGCCTGTCCACAAAAAATTGCAGTGCCTCTCAGAGCCTTAAATCGTAAAGATCTGAGCCACCGCGCCCGTCACCCTGAGACATAAGTTGACAAGTCCCATGTGCCTGTAATTTCACCAACACCTTCAAAACTGGAACGCAGTAATGGTCACATTACTGCTTGTGTCGGCAGAAATAGTAAAAGGCAGTAGTACTTCGCGGGACGAACTTTGTCACATTAGCTCTACTGCTACTAAGGAATGCCTTTAATGGAACATAGTTTCTTTATCAAGTTACACAGTAACATATACAAAACATTTTGTATAGGTATGTATATGTTTTTCTTTGCTTTTTCTATCTATATCTCTTTAGATATAGATCAAAAAGCAAAGTTGTACAGCAAAAGAAATATTCATAGCTAAATGTCATGGACAGTTCCGTGTCCAAAAATATGAATACCAATATTCTCGAAACGTTTGAATTCTAACAAGGTTGCGTTGTCACAGGGCCACTAAATAATAAATGATAACAAGTATAAGAGGTCCCAAGAAGCTTCAATAAAGCCGTTCACCGTTCACAAGGTCTTAACAGGGTCATTTCAATACAATTTTCAGGTAAATAGAAACGTTTCATGTTTGGCATTGAGAGCCGAAAAAACCCAATACAAAATCTGTAACAGACACATCTAAGGCATAGACAGAAGAATTTCGTCGACCTGGTGACTCGATCTGTAGCTCAGTTGACAGAATCAACGCCATGGCACAGCGTGGTCCCAGGTTCAAGTCCTGTTGGGTCGAAGGAATTTTTCTTTGTGTTCGATCTTTATATTAGTAAGTATGATAACTTAATTTTTTTATTGAATTGATATTCAATTATTTTTTATGTGAAATTACTTACATACTACTTAATTACTTAAACTATTAACACTAGTTTGTTATAATTATTAATACAAAAGGTCGGACACCCAGAAAACAAATCATTCGATCCGACTTCTTTATATTAATAATTATAACTATAATAACTTTTTTATTAAAAAAACCGACCTCTATTTGACAAGTTTTATTGAAATCGGTTACCGGAAAGTGCGCGATACCCGGATACATCCCGTAGTTTGCCGCCCGTACAGGAGGAATATTTTCTTCAAACATTTAAATGGGACCAATACTGAGGTACCCTCTATCCAACAAAAAAGGAACACCAAAATCGGTTCACAAAAAAAAGAGTAGTCGCGTAACAAACATACAAAAAAAATTCTGTGGAATTAAGAACCTCCTCGTTTTTTTGAATTCGGTTAACAAACATTTTATTTTGTAGCGGAATTAATGTAAATAACTGGAAACTCGCTCTATCGATGAATGATTCATCTGAAGTATTGACGTTAGTGACTGTTTTTTCCATCACCTAACATGATTGTCATGGTACAAATCCGACTATTTGGGATTTTACGTAGACGGTAAAATTAAAATGGTTGCGTTTTTAATAGTTTAGGCTTGAGGTTCCCAAACCCTTTGTCTGGTAGACCACGTACAATTTTTTCTGTATTGCGTAGACCCCCTGCCTTTTAATATTGATTTTTTTACAAATTCTTCAACTTCAAATCTGTTTGATAGTTGACACAGTGCTAGTAGGTATATATACATATTTATATAAAACTTTATAAAAAAGTTTTATATAAATATGTATATTATATATCTAACCGATAAATATCTAAACGAATATCTATGTTTCTTATATTTACTTAGTTCTTCATAGGTAATTCGTATCTATTATTAAGAAAGTTTTATGTATTTACAATATATAATAACAAGTACATACTAATCTGTGTCATGTGGATTATTCCATTTATGGTAGGTCAAAATTCAGATCACGACCTGTTTAACTCTTGACATTAACGTCTCATGCACCCACTATTTTTTTCCGCTGACATGCACCCCTAGTTGTGCTAAGTTTGGAGTGGACAACTGGGGGTCGATAAAGACCACTTTGGGAATTTTCGGTTTAGGCGTAATAGCACAATTTCTAATGTACAAGTTTCGGAGTCCTTTGAATTATACAGGAAGTGGGGAGTTTAGTCATGATTGATTCATTAAACCGGTAAACCATGGTTTTAAAAGAGTTACCACAATTATCAACGCAAAATTGCCTTGGAGCTATTACACTTTAATACATTTGTCGCATTAAATTTATTCATCCTCGACGCGGCCGTTCGGCTTCGCCTTTTAGCCATCGCCTCGGGGGGTATGAAATGTGGCCTAGGTACTTTCGGAGTCGTTCGGCCGTCGCATTATGACGCGACGTTGCAGTTTAGGTGTGGACGCGGCCATTCATCGGATGCGTATATGATCACGATTGAAAATTCGCAGGAAGCAGATTTGTTGCCATCCTGCGTCGAGTCGCGTCGAACGAACCGATGCGAAATGCACGCCGTCTTTTTCACTCTTATTACATGGTCATAAAGCTTTTATGACAGGCTTAATGCGATTCTTAGTTTTTTTTTAAATTTGTTTGTGGCAACAAAACAGTCATAATAATTATTTACATATATTCCTCTTAAAAATAGACCTATATTGTCAGCAGTTTATTAACAATTATAATACGTAAAACGGCTATAACATAGTATTTTGTGGAATTATTTGTAATGATAACATTCGTGATTTACGTGTTACACTAGAATTTTGCACGACGGAGTTTATAAACCATAGTAGTTATTAAATGCCATTTACAATATGTAGTGCCACTTTTTTTTAAATTTACTAAGAATGGTGTCAAAAAGATCAATATCCGAAAAT